TTTTTATCTTTGAAGTTTCTTTATGTAGCATCTTTTTTCTTCTTTTTCTTTTCTATTTCTATCTTACTCTTTGTTCCACCTACATACACCACCAAAATAGGGTGAACCTATATAAGAACTACTTTTTTTTTCTTTTTTTTATATCAATGTAAATTGAGTGTAAACTATAATATAGTGTGAGAAACTCATGGCATTATCAAGAAACCAAATATTTGCAGCAGATTACTTACTCTCCAATCCAATACGTTTTATGGCAAGCAGAAAGATGTTGTGAAGGTACGCTGTCCAAACAATCTTTGGTTTCTTCACAAGCCGATGCTTTCCTTCACTTTGGCCTTCCTTATTATTCTTTTGGCTACTCTTGTACTTCCTTTTCCTCTTATTCACAGTGGATGGTATTGCATAGTTAGCATCCTGAATAAAAACGCCACCACCTGGCAGTGAGGCCCCTTCATTATTTTCAATACTTATTTTCCTTTTCCTTGCAGCCACAGCATGCTGCCAAATGTCCTTGAAGTCATCTTGGCAAAAGGGTTTCAAAATAAAATGTGCTGCACCATTTGCTAAACTCTTGGCCACTGCACTCTTTCTCCTATCTGCTGACATCACTGCATGAAACAAAAGAGAATGTGTCACATATGCCCTAAGCTGTTTAAATAATACGCATAAGTGGTTTTGCACATATTTCTCCCCAAGAAACTAAAAGAAAATAGCTTTCAAAAACAGAAAGCATGTGAGTACATTCATGAGGACCAAACTAGTATATTTTACTTTCTTTCTAACGTAACCTCTTATTCTAAACATGTGTAAATTACTTGTGAATATGTTCTTTATGTATGTGTATATGACAAGGTCTTGTGCTTGAATCCATTCTTATAAACTAAATGTATCCTTCTAAACCCCCTAAGCTTTGATTTGTTATAATGGTTCACTTGGTTATGTTCTTTATTGGTAAACATATGTTGAAGTACATTGATGTTATATTTGAAAGAAAAGAAAAGAGAAAAACTCCTATATGCATGAAAGAAGAAACAGTGGTTTCATGTACAAGAATGCCACTCACTTATTACTGGTAACTGGAATTCATTTTCAATACGCTTTTGAAATTCAACCCCGTCCATTCCTGATATATGAAGTTCTGTAATGACGAGATCAAGAAAGCCTTGAAACTCTCGAAGAATATCCAAAGCGTTAAGAGCGCCTCTGGCAATGAGAACTGAAATTCAAAACCAAAGATCGAGTAAAGTATAAGCTCATTGAGTGAATTTACATAATTTACATTTTACATGAGATATGCGGTTCACAATCCATTACTGCTTTCAACCAAAATGTTTTCAAGTATATTTACATTTTACATGAGATATGCAGTTTCCAATCCATTAATTTAACCAAAGTTTCTAATTTGAGGGTTGTGGATGAAAAAAAAAATATAGTTGAGACAAAACTCTACTAAAGATTATTAGTTAAACTCTTCCATGGAAATAATTAGTTATAGATAAAATTAATAAATATTAATTAGTTATAGATGAAATTAATGAATATTTTATATCAACATTATGATTAAAAAAATATGATGGAAATAGGTGTGGGTATATGCATTAAGCACCCAAAAGATAATCCTAAAATGCATGATCTTTTAATTTTAAGACTCTAATTATTCTATATATGACATATAATTAAATTTTATTATTATTTTTAAATTGGAAAACACAAATACTGTCAAGATTGATTAGGATTATGAATACTATACTAGAGATCCTAGACTACTTAATAACTTGTCTCATATCAACACAAAATTCATTGAAAAGATAAGTTACAATTATTAAAATAAATTAAATATTTTAATTTATTCTAAAAAATATTGCAAGTAGTAAAAATAAAAAATAAAAAATAAATTTATATACAATGTTAATATAAAACATTTTCACATATATATTAATAGGAATTTACTGTATCGTAACACAATATTAATGAATTGAATGTGATAAAAAAAAAATCAATTTTTATTACACATCTATTTTAAAAAAATTACAATGATATTCTCAATAAATTAAATTTCAAAAGTAATTCATATTTTACTAAAAACATTAAATTATATAAAAATATTATGTATTTTCTTCAAATACATGCATTGCTTCTAAAATATTATTCATAATAGTTTTAATTATTTTATTATTGGGCATAGTTTTTTAAAATTAAAATTTTATCTATTATTCTTCATAAATTTGTTAATTTTGATAAAAACCATCTTAAAAATTTTACCAAAAATAATTTTTAATTAATTAATAATATAAAATATTTTAACTAATCATGTATATCTTTTAAACTTACTAGTAGAAAAGAAAACACTTCGTGTTTTCATAATAACCTTTTTTTAATACACGTATGTTGATGAAATAGTGTATGGGTTATCCACAATTTCAAAAATAATTTTTTTTCTTCATAAAAAGACTATTGTGTCTTTTATTATACAGTTTATGTAATATTTATTATAAAAGGTTAAATTTGTAACAAACTATGTGTATACTAAAAAAAATCAACTTTATATATGTGTATAGATTATAATTTTAGAGAATGATTTGATAATTTTTAATATACTGAAATCAAAGTTTATATGATAAGAATGAGTTGACAGCTCATTTAACATGTCCACACTAATTAATTGGAAGGAGGGGAGGATTAAAATGTTTTCCATGCATAAGAGATGACAACCGGACGGAACGCGGGTAGGTTGTAATTAAAATCACTCGTCTTATCTTGTATGAGTATTTATTTAGGAGATATTTATGAATTTTTTTTATATATTTACGGATATTTATGAGTATTTATAATTATTTGTAAAATGTTAAATTTAAATAAAAAAAATAAGAATTAAAATAAATAATTTTAAATATATATTTATATTAAAAAAATATAACATATCTGTACTAAAAAAATAATTATGAGATATATATCACTCGTCTTATCTTGTATGAGTATTTATTTAGGAGATATTTATGAATTTTTTTTATATATTTACGGATATTTATGAGTATTTATAATTATTTGTAAAATGTTAAATTTAAATAAAAAAAATAAGAATTAAAATAAATAATTTTAAATATATATTTATATTAAAAAAATATAACATATCTGTACTAAAAAAATAATTATGAGATATATATTTATAATAAAATTAAATTAAATCAAATTACTTTATATATAACTACTAAGGTCCACCTAGTAATAAAGAATTAGAATAGTATTTGTAGCCTCTTAAGTTCGAATATGATATTATTATTATAATTTTAATAAATAAAATTATATTATATAATTAAAATTATTTTTAATATTTTTAAAATTTTCAAGTATCTTACTATCAATTTCTACTCCATTATTAGGAAGATACTCATTTAACTATTTATTTATAATAGTAAATTTTATCTGCAAATATATGTAGTTACATATATTTTATCATTCCTATTTATCACTAAGAGCATAAATCACAAGCCAAATTTAGAGAGAGATTAAAATAAATTAAGATAACAAGTTTATTTTTATGCATTATTATTTTAAAAAAATATATATAGTCAATTAATTAAAATTTATTGCATTATATTTTTTTATTTTTAAAATAAATTATAAAAATCAACAAATTTACAAGACATAACAATTTATTTTTATATATATACATAAAAATTAATTTGTTATCCGATTTTAATGTAAAAATAAATAAATTATGACCATCCCTATAACATATAATCACAATTTAAAATATAATTAATTGGTGAGTTCGGCATAAAAGTGAGTCTAATAAAGCACTCAACATTATTAAAACAAAGACATTTTTTTTTCTCTATCTTTATCTCAGCTTATTAAATTCATCATTAATTAATTTGTTTAAAATTAATAATTTATATTAATAAATTAAATTAACCAAACATTTTTCTATACACTATAAATCCATATTTACACGGTAACTTCATTTAATGCTACAAAACATCAATAGTGCTATGTAAGTAAGTAGGATTACTGTGTTTTGTCAAAAAGAAATAACAGGATTACTTTACTAGTGATATTAATGGAAGTAAGAATTAGTGTAAATTTGATTTAGATTTGGACTACAAAGATAAAGGATGGAGACATGAAAAAGATTTATATTTGGAGCATATAAAGGCAAAAAGGGCCTTGTATACGGTTAAAAAAGTGGGATAAAAAAACATTGGAAGACAATCTCAAAGGTCATGTGTCAAAAGAGCAACAAGAGAGTAAAAATCTTTAGGATAAGATTCAAGAAACTCTATCCAAATTGAGTTTTGTGTCAAAAAAAAAATTAATATATGCGATTTATTAATAAGTCATTGATTTGTGTAAAAATAAATTTAATTTTTTAAAATAAAATCTTTAATTTAAGTCATATACATGAAGAAAAAAAAAGTGATTGAAAATTCTACTTAAATGGTGGATCAGATTCCTTAATACTGATTATCTTAGAAGATTTTCTATAATATGCATTGGTATGCAAGTCATGGTCATTCAAGAAGTTCTACCCAAATAGTTTCAAAACATAGGATGACTAATTTCAACCTATTGGGGAAAATTTTGAGTTTTATCCGCAGCACACATTTGAAAAAGGGATCAAAATACATGAAATTCCAATACAAACAAAACATTGATGGCAAGAAATTATTACAAGTCCATAGTTTCATCCAATTTTACTTGATATGCAGCCGCTGTTTTTTAATTCACAAACTAAAAAAAAAAAACAAATTAACAACATCCATTTACGTTTCATGTAAAAATCAATTAAGATCATATTACTCTATATACTAATTTCATGAATTATATAGAATATTTGTTAATATACACAGAAACTCTTACCTTTATAATCGAATGAGTTGAGTATGTTAGTAATGATGGCCAAAGAAGTATCATCATCATCCACAACCAAAACACTGATATCAACTTTCTCAGAAGCCATTTTCTTTGTGCTTCCTTCCTTCTTTTATCTTAGACTAGAAACTCCAAAGAAATGAAACATGTGAAGAGACACTAGAAATAATCTAAGCATATATATAAAGAAAATAGGGAAGTGAGGGGCAATGGTGGTAAATGAATGGCTTACATGTGTCAATTTAACTTCTTTAAGTAGAGAAACAAGAGATTGAGGGGATCTTTTACCAATTTACCCATTTTATTGTCTTATTTGCACTTACCAATATCTTTACCTGCCAATTTATATTATGCTCTTTTTTTGAATAGTATACATATATATGACGCTCTTTTTCTTTCTTTTTTGACGAAGCATTTATACGATATTCAACTCAAGCTAATTAATGGAAAAAAATCTTCAGTCAAAAGATTATATTTCGTACTTTTTTTCTTCCATGTATAGTTTATTTTACAGCGAGTTCCTTGTTTGAAAGATTTGGCAATATTTTGTAATGCCTCTTTGAGCCAGCTATTTATTTTTTACTAAAATGTTTAAAGATTACAATTTTTTTTTGGTTAAAATTTCTCTTTGTCTAAAAGTCTTTGTATATTTGAGAAGAGCATTTTGTCACTTATAGTGATTCTATTCGTTAATTTTGAACAATATTATCTCTATTCAAAGATATGTGATTTATAAAAATAAAGAAAAAACACTTTGATTAAATGGTCTGTACAATGTTGTTTACCCTATCATTTAATTAAAAACTAATATTTATAAAAAAAATTTATTGAGTTTTACAATAATTTATGTCTAACAATTTTTTATTAATTGTTAATATAAAATATTTTACACCGAAGATATATAAATATTAAACTCAAAGTATTTTTGAGATTCAAATAATTTAAATTAAGTTGAGTAGACCCATTTTAATGATTTTTCAGTGTGTCTTTGACATGAGAATTTGATACCAAATTAAGACTAATTTGTTAAAGGTTTAAATAAAATGTAAGTTGTCAAAGGATCTAACCCATATTGTTTTGTGTTTAAAGGAATTAGTCATATACTAAAATAATGTGTAAAGAATTCAACAAAATTAAAATGAAAAGAAAAAGTACGAACTTTCGATTTTTATTTTGAGCTATTGGAGTCTTTAGTCGACTGTGATTATATTGAAATGGAAAACATGTATATTTTAGTTCACTATATTCTTTTTTCAGTTTTGAATGTGATAAATGATCATGTTACAAAGATTATCCAATATTTTTTAAGTTTTGAATTTTTACAATTCAATTTTTTTTTAATAACATGGGTTTAAATGAAATTGAGTTAAGATTGAGTTTTATAAATAAAAGGTTAAATTACATTTTTTTTATCCATCAATTTTATTAATACATAATTTTGTTTTTTTATTTTTAAATTAAAATAAATATATTTAATTTTTATTTAAAAAAAAAATTTAATTTGATCAATAATTTAACATTCGTCAACTATTAAATTTAGATGTCGATTCATTATATGGAAAATATTGTTTAAATTAAATAATTTTTAACTGATTATATTAATAAATAATATAATTAAAAAAATAAAAATAAAATGATTTTAGTAAATAATATTGTTTTATTTTATTTTAATAATGTTATTAAATAAATTCATTTGAATAAAATTATTAATAAACTTGATTATTTATTAGTATTTTATCATACATGTTAAATTTTTATTATATATAACTAAAATTTATAACAAATTATATATACAAATAAATATTATATTTAAATATATATAATTTGTATTTAAATTTTATAAAAATAAATATTTTAAACTTATAAATTATATATTATATTTATGATAAATAATTTATATTGTAGAACAAGATTACTTTATTCATTGATAATTTATGTTAAAATTATTATATTAAATTTATAAATAATTATGATAAATAAAAATAAATTAAAAGAAATCTAAAAATCTTCTCAAAGAAAAACTCATAAAAAATGTTAGTATAAAAGAAAACATTCAATTTAATATATAGGAGTTGATTTTATTTTATTTTAATATTATTATTAAATAAATATGTTTTAATATAATTATTCAATAAATGTATCTTAATAACATTATTAAATAAATATATTTTAATAACATTATTAAATAAATATATTTTAATAACATTATTAAATAAATATATTTTGATAAATTTATTAAATAATTATTTTTAATAACATTAAAAAATTTATTTTAATAACTTAATGAAATAACATTATTTATTTTAGGTACAGTTGTACTTTTTACCACTCATCTTTCACGGCTTTGTGAAATTTTTTACTCAACTTTCAAATTAAATTATACATTTTGATGCATAACTTTTAAAATTTTACATATTTTATCATATTAGTTGACTACTTATATAACATCAACTATTGATGTGAAATCTTGACCATTAACATGATATACATATGTTTACAATGAATAAAGTGACACATCGTCAATAAACATATAAAATTAATCATATCATATTATAATGTGTCACATCAATAATCAATTAATAACGGTAAATGTATCATAATAATTCATTGGTTTAATGTATAATTTCAAAAGTTGTGTAACAAAATTTGCCAAAAAATAAAAAATTTAGTTACAAAAAATACAATTAAATCTTTATTGTATTATCTTTTAAAAATGTTATTAAATCAATTATTTATTTAAATTTATTTTAATAACTTTATTAAGTATATTTATTTTAATAATTTTATTAAGTAACATTATTCATCAAAATAAATAAATTTATTTATTTATTTATATATAAATTATAATGATAATATACTATCACGTAGGGAATACTACCCCCACCAATGGAGAAACTATTAAATAATTATAAGAAAAATTATTGAAGCTTGAAGCAGGGAACCTTAAACGATTTCAAATACATATTTGCTTTTTTTTCTAAAACCAGGATAATGTATTTAATGATAAAGTATAATTAATACATATAATGTTTTTCGTATAAAATATTTTTGAGAAAAATGTATATGTAATGGCATTGTAAAAAACTTCATAAAGTTATCTAATCACAATTTTTCATTAACGGTAAGTTTGTTAATTTTAAAATAATTATCTTAAAATTAAGTTAATTTCATAATTATTTATCATTAGTAAACGCTATATAAAAAAATTACTAAACTAAATTAGGTTAACAATTACTAAACTAAATGCACGGTAAAATATAATCTTCATTATCTTCTTAATAAAATAAAGAAGGTATCGTCTTTTCAGGAAAAAAAATCAATTATTGTAATAGTCCAAACATCTCAAAATGAGAAGGATCTAGAGATTTGTATAGGTGTGAGACCGTGCAATTAAAGATGACTTAAAGGAATTAATTTGTATTATGTATATCGACAAAAAAATAATTTGGTAGTTAATCACTTAAGAAGTCTACAATTAAGTGTGTTTGGCTTGGAACAATTAATGGATGGATGACCTTTTGAGAAATTTCTTAGAAAGTATGCGAGTGATGATAAAGCACATTGAAAAGTTTTGTATTGGTTCATGGAGTCAATCGTTGATTCTAAATGTGAACAGACATATTCAAAAGGACTACTCACGGGAGGTTCTAATTGATGAAAGGTTTTGACCAATGAAAGGTTCTTTCAAGTGGAACTGTGTGAAGTATTGAAGAGTGAAGTCATCAAGACATCAAATATGATGAGTGTTACAAATGGTATCATAAGGGATCCTCTGTGAGACCCGTGACTGATATCTCATTTCTTCCTCTCAACTCTCAACTCATTCTCACTCTCTTACACTCTTCTTCCCCATCAATTTCTGATTCCTTGTGGTGACCTTGGTTTGAAGGTGTTGATTCTTAGAGTTTGGAGTTGCTGAGGTGTGGGCGTTCTCTTTTCTTCCTCGTTCAAGCTCTTCTTCATCTTCTTCTCGTTCTTCTCTTCCCGGAGCTCGGATTCTTCATACCGAGGTAAGGGAAGCTAGGATTTTCTTGCCGGTTGTTTGTTTTAGTGAGCTAGAAACTCACATGATGACTGATTGTTGCGGATTTATGGCTGAGATTGATGACAATGGAGTTTTGGGGTTTTTCGGGGTTGCGGGTGAAAATTTGGGATTTTTCTTTGTTTGTTGTTGCATGTTGAAGAAGCTGGGACTTTTGGGGTTATTGATGAAAATGTGATGTTTTGGGCCGATTGCATGTGGATTTTCTGGTTGGTTATGCAGGCTTTTGAAGAAATTTTTGAACTTGGGGAGTTGCTGATGAGTAGCACGCCGGGCACAGTTCTTGGCACCGGGCGCGTGACCATTAGAGGGCTCCATTGGTCGAGCCCACCAGGCTCAGGGTTGTGCGCGCCGGGCGAGCTTGAGAATGGATGCCCCTGGATGGCTCACGTCGGGCGTGGTTGGACCATGCTGGGCGCGCTATCAGTTAGTGATCTACTATTTGATGATTCTGGTGTGGCGCCGGGCGTGACCACGTCTTACCAGGCGTGGAGACTCCCTGGGAGTCTCTGCCAGAGGTGGCGCCAGACGCAATTGATATTGCGTCGGGCGTGAGACCTTTGGGAAGTCTCTGCTTACCTTGCGCCGAGCGCGGGTTTGCACGTCGGGCGTGTGAGACCTTCTGAGGTCTCTGCCTCCTAGCACGCCGGGCGCAATGGGAATTGCACCGGGCGCGCTGAGCCTTGATGCTCTCTGGTTGTGCCACACCGGGCGTGACCATGAGCGCGTCGGGCGCATAGATGATATTTGATGTTTAGCTGATATGTGTTGAATTATGCTGAAATTTGCTGATAGATGTTGTGATATGCTGAGCTGAGCTGTAAATGTTAAATATTGCTGTGCTGACTAGTTGATAATGCTGAATTATGATGTTGAGCTGTAATTGATGTATATTGTTGTGATGTAAGTTGTCTAGCTGTGCTATGTTGTGCTGTGAGTTGTGTTAGTTGGGCTGTAAGTTGTTTAGCTGTGTTGTGTTGTGATGTGAGCTGTTATTGCTATTAAGCTGTGCTTTGCCGAATTTTGTTTGTGCTGATTTATGCTGTTAATGTCGTATGATGAAAAGTTGAGCTGTGTTGT